CAACAAACTAGGCATAGAAGGAACATACCTCAAAATAATAAAAGCCGTGTATGACAGATTCCCAGCCAGAATCATCCTGAATAGGGAAAAGTTGAAGGCATTTCCCCTGAGAACTGTAATGAGACATGGTTTTCACTTTCACCACTTTTATTCAACATAATACAGGAAGTCCTAACCAGAACAGTCAGGCAAGCAGAAGAAATAAAGGGAAACTGGAAAAGAGGAAGTCAGACTGTCACTGTTTGCCATTGATATGATCCTAAAAACCTTAAAGACTCCTCCAAAAGACTCCTAGATTTGATAAACTAATTCAGTAAAATCTCAGATTACAAAATCAATGCACACAAATCAGTAGCTCTGTTATACACCAACAGTGACCAATCAGATAATCAAATCAAGAACTCAATCCCTTTTATAACAGCTTCAAAAAAACAAAATACATAGGAATATACTTATCCAAGGTGAAGGATCTCTACAAGGAGAACTACAAAACACTGCTGAAAGAAATCATTGATTTGTGTATATTAATTCTGTATCCTGAAACTTTGCTGAATGCATTGACAAGTTCTAGGAGGTTTTTGGATGAGTCTTTAGGGTTTTCTAGGTATATGATCATGTCATCAGCAAACAGCAACAGTTTAACTTCCTCATTACCAGTTTAGCTGAGAATCAAATCAAGAACTCAATCCCTTTTCAATAACTGCAAAAAAAAGATACTTAGGAATATACTTAACCAAGGAGGTGAAAGACCTCTACAAGTAAAACTACAAAACATTGCCGAAGGAAATTATAGACAATACAAATAAATGGAACCTATCCCATGCTCATGGATGGCTAGAATCAATATTGTGAAAATGAGCATATGCCAAAACCAATCTACAAATTAAACACAATTCCCATCAAAATGCCATCATCATTCTTTACAGAACTAGAAAAAAATATCCTAAAATTCATATACAAGCAAAAAAGAGCCCACGAGGCAGCAAAAAGAACAAATCTGGAGGCATTATATTACTGGATTTCAAACTATACTATAAGGCCACAGTCATTATAACAGAATGGTGCTAGTATAAAAACAGGAATATAGACCAACAGTACAGAATAGACAACCCAGAAATTAAGCCAACTGTAAGTGGTTTTGTTTAACAAAGCAAACAAAAACAAAGTGGAGAAAGGACGCCCTATTCAAAAAAATGGTGCTGGGATAATTGGCAAGCCACATGTAAAAGAATTAATCTGGATCCTCATCTCTCACCCTGTACAAAAATCAACTCAAGATGGGTTAAAGACTTAAATCTAAGACCTGAAACCATAAAAATTCTAGAAGATAACATTGGAAAAACCTTTCTAGACATTGGCTTTGGCAAAAACTTCATGACCAAGAACCCAAAAGCAAATGCAACAAAAACAAATATAAATAGATGGGACTTAATTAAACTAAAAGCTTCTGCACAGCAAAAGAAATAATCAGCTGTGTAAACAGACAACCCACACAGTAGGAGAAAATCTTCATGATCTATACATCTGACAAAGGACTAATACCCAGAATCTACAAGGAACTCAAACAAATCAACAAGAACAAAACAAACAGTCCCATCAAAAAGTGGGCTAAGGACCTGAATAGGCAATTCTCAAAAGAAGATATACAAATGGCCAAGAAACATGAAAAATGCTCAACATCACTAATTATCAGGGAACTGCAAATCAAAACCATAATGTAATACCACCTCACTCCTGCAAAAATGGCCATAATAAAAAAAAAAAATAGATGTTGATGAGGATGTGGTGAAAAGGAAACACTTTTATGCTGTTGGTGAGAGTGTAAACTAGTATAACTTCTATGGAAAACAGTGTGGAGATTTCTTGAAGAACTAAAAGTCTATCTACCATTTGATCCAGTGATCCCACTGCTGGTTATCTACCCAGAGGAAAAGAAGTCATTATGTGAAAAAGATAACTGTACACACATTTATAACAGCGCAATATGCAATTGCAAAAATACGGAGCGAGCCCAAATTCCTATCAATCAATGAGTGGATTAAAAGCCATAAAAAGAACAAAATAATGGCATTTGCAGCAACCTGGATGGAACTGGAGACCATTATTCTAAGTGAAGTAACTCAGGAATGGAAAACCAAACATTGCATGTTCTGATCTCTTCCTTTATATAAAAATCAACTCAAGATTGACCAAAGACTTAAACCTAAGACTTGAAACCATTAAAATTCTAGAAGATAACCTAGAAAACCCTCTTCTACACATTGACCTAGGCAAATAATTCAGGACTAAGGCCCCAAAAGCAAATGCAACAAAAACAAAAATAAATAAGTGTAACCTAATTAAACTAAAAAGCTTCTGTATATCAAATAATTATAACAATCAGAGTAAAGAGACAACCCACAGAATGGGAGAAAATATTTAATACAGCAATTGTCTTTGAAGCAGTGGTTCTCAAGGGCAGGGTGGCAGTTTTTCTTCTCGAGATATTTGGCAATGTCCAGAGACATTTTTGGTTGTCACAGCTGGAAGACAGGGACCAAATTCAAAATCAGTAAAGAAAAAATACTTCTTAAAACCCTATGTATGAAAATTTAAAACATATTTTAAATAATTTATTAGTCAAAAACATTGCTAATAAACGTGTAAATGATGTTTAATTGCACTCGTAACTACGGGAATTCAAATTGACAAACAGCATATTATTTCATATACAACAATGACAAAAGAGTAGAAACAGCAGATGCTGTTAAGAATGTAGAAAAATAGGAATACTTATACACTACTGGCTTTGCATAAATTGATGAAGCCAGTTTGGAAAACAATTAAACAATATCTAATAAAATTGACAATATATCCCCTATGACTTAGCACTTCCTTTTCTAGGGATATAATGTTAGAGAAATTTTCACACATTTATACAACGAGATATGTATAATGTTCTATAATTTAAAAAAACAGATTGGCATAGTATAAAAGCCTGTTAGGGAAGGGATAATTAATTATAATAAATTTATTCAATGGATTACCATTTACAGTTAAAATAAGTGAACTAGTTTTATAAGCAATATTGAGCAATTATGAAATTATAAAATTGAAGTAAAAATAAAAATAATTTGTAGAGTTATTCTTTTAGATTATGCTCTTGATGTAAAACTTTATAATGCACAAAATAAGAGTACATATTATTAGGGAATACTTGTTTACATAGTAAATATCTTTAAATTAGGACTAGCAAGAATACATAGGATAGTAGTTCCTGCTGAGGAACAATATAAAAAGCTTTTAACCAAATATGTGGTTTTATTTATTGAAAATATATACATAAATTTTAAGTAAATATCAATGAGTAATTGATGATAGTGAGCATAAGAGTGTTCTTTGTATCATTTTCGTATGTATATTTGAAACATATTTATAAATGAAGAGAATAAAACATACAGAAGCTAAAAATCATTATGCAGTGTTATACAAAGCAAATACTTGACTGCTAGACAAGATAAGCAGATGATGCTAGACCAAGCTTAAGAATCATTTTTGAAAGAACCTTTCCTGATAGTCTTTCTCCATTCTTCTTTCATTGTTTCCAAATTGCTTGCTTAAAAATTAACCAGTTGCTTTGTGTCATAATATACCCTACTTCTATTAAATTACATGTTTTACTTATTTATTAACAGTTATTCTCATCCTAGAGACCATAAACTCTTTGGGGTGAGAGACTATATTTCATATATCTATCACCTATGCATAGTTTAGTGGCTGACAAATAGTAAGCACCAAATAAATATATGATGAATGAAATACTAAATGATTGAACAAGATTCCGAAGGAAGAAGAAATTTGTAAGGGATAATTTGCCTACATTTTAGTTTTGATGTGATCGACACTATATATGCTCTTGCCAGAATCCAATAATAGGACATCCAATCAGTCCCTGTGCGTTCAAGTTAGATTTTGCTATATATAACTGGCGAACTCAAAATAACAGTGGTTTCCTTTAGAAATGTCTTTCACACCAAAAAGAAGCCTGAAAGAAGGTAATCCAGGGCTGCTGTGGAGGTTCCACAGTGTCAGGAACTCATGTTTCAATTATCTTTCTATTCCATCATCTTTATTGAGGTGCCACATGAACCAAAAAATACTCCTCAAATTTCATCAGTCCCTCTTTGTTTACTTCCTTCCTTTCATCTTTTTTTCTGTTTCTTTCTCCCTTATTAATGTGAATGGACAAGAAATGCTTACCCCTGCTTTTGAAAGGAGACTTCCTAGAGGTACTCTGTGGCACTTCCCCTTGTGTCTCATTGACTGGTACACAGTTAGTTGCACGGCTGCCTGGAGATGTAAATGAGGCTGGGAAATGTCTTTTAGTTACATGACAGTGTTTTCAGCTGAAAATTGTGGTTAGTTTGGTTACTAAAGAGCAAGAAGAGAATGGACATTGGAATACAATTAACGGTCTCTGAGTTTTTAATCGCTTTTGGATACCAAAATGAGAAAGAGCTTTTCCCTTAAAGGGAGAGCCTGATGAAAGAGAAAAGTGAAAGCCTATTAGTTTACTATTTGTGTAAGCCTTCACCTAACAAGCCAAAAATTAGAAGATTTTATGTTGAACCTAGTTTTGCTCTCAAAGACAAGATATTAACCAAATATTACTCATGTTTTAGAGTATCATTTATAAATCTGATATAGTAGGATTCTTTTGCCATTTTGCTTCTGCCAAATGATATAAACTAAGAAATAGTTTGATTTTTGGTTCTAGGGCAATGTTCATAAATTTGGTATTAACCAAAGTGCTAGTCTTGGGGGAAAAAATGAGGCGTAGTAAAATCAGAAAGGTAACCTTTTATAGGAACTTAATCCATAATAGCAGACTTCCCTTGGGTGTTTAATCCTGGTCACTGCTTCTGGTATTGGTTATTCTCACTGGGCAGTACATTTGTAATGAAAAGTTTTATTTTTTGGAGACTGGAAAAATAGTTATTCATTAGTCTTTTATCTTCCAGGCTCTAAATTATCTTGGTATTCAGCCCACAAAGGAACAACACCAAGCCCTGAGACAGCAAGTACAAGCAGACTCAAAAGGGACAGTGTCTTTTGGAGGTAATATTAGGTTTATTGTGTTGTATTACTAGAATTACTGACCTGGCAGGGTCAGCAGAGAGAAGAACTTTATTAGGACCTTTCAGCTCTAAACATCATCCTTTTTATTCTTTTTATTTTTCATTTATTACATAAACATTTCTTTAGTGATAACAAAAGGAACAGTACAAAATATGGAAGTTCTAATTTTGCTATTGTGAGATTAATTCTAATCCTTTTCAGCTAATATAGTAAGTATTTTTATGATGCTATGTAATTATAGTCATCCCTTAGTATGGCAGGGGAATTGTTTCCAGGACCCCTGCGTATACCCAAGTCCGGCCATACTAAATCTTATAGTCAGTCCTGCAGAACCCACATATAGGAAAAGTTGACCCTCCATATATGTGACTTTTGCAACGCACAAATACTGTATTTTTGATGCATTTGTTTGAAAAAGACTTCATGTATAGGTGAACCTGTGCAGTTCAAGCCTATGTTGTTCAGGGGTCAACTCTATTCTTATTAAAGATACCATAATGTACCACTTAGTTGTTGTACTATAGTATTAAGCCTTTCTACTATTGTGAAATTTGATGGTTTCTCAGTAGTTGATATTACAAATCTGTATTTATCATCATTGTGAATGTAGCTGTTTTTCTTTCTTAAGCCAAATCCTCACAAATGGTTTGGACTTTTGATACATATTGGTAAATTGTTTTTCAGAGATATTTTACACATATATTTGTTCTACCACCAGTAATGTTTGAATGTAACACTTTTTGTCTTCTGTCACTATTAAATATTTAATTTCCTTGTATAGTAGATGTTTAATTTTCTTGTATAGTAGACATAACATTGTACCAGTATCTGTATTGCTGAAAAAAGAAAATTGACCTTTTGGTTCTGAAGTGATACAAAAAAGATATTTTCATCCCATCTCCTCTTGAAAATCATTCCAAAATAATAATGAAAACAAGAAACAGAAAAACACATACACCTAAAACCACAATATCTAAGGACAGAAAATGGATGAGGAAAATAAATGAATTAGTGAGCAAAGACAGGTAAAACCCAAGTGTGTGAAGAGAGAGGAAAATTACAATAAGAAACAAGTTGATTTGACCCTAAAATGATTTAGGAATTGAAGACGTCAGGTATTTCTGGAGACTGAGTTTTTAGGCAGGATATTAAAACAGGATGGTTAGAAATCTTAAGAGAATTATGCATGCTTTTCTCTGCCCCTTCTCAAGTAGTCTGGCATCACGACTCTACACCTCCAGGGGAAAAGAAGTATATTCCTTTGTGAAATTAAACCAGAGATTGTGGACCTATAGTTGGCAGCAGCAAGGGAGTGTGTGGAGTATATAGTGAGTCATCTCTCATAATACACACACAGATTGCTCAGGGAACTTTGCCGCCATGTTTATTACTGTAGGCAGAAAACTATAGTATTCTCTCTGAAGAAGCTGAACAAAAATTTCAGCTGGCCACCAGATTGCCCTGTAGTAAAAGCTGCCAGTTGACAAAGCAAGTTACACACATAAAATTTCCAACCAAAATTTTTAGTGCCAGATTATTAAATATGAACTCATAGTCAAGAGTCACCAGAGATTTAGAGAAATCCTCCAACGTAAAATATAGAACCCAAAACTATCAGACAAACAGAAAAAAGGAACTCAGAAAAAAGAAATGAAGAAGCTCAGAAGAGACTTTAGGTCGGAGGCCGGGTGGAGTGGTTTATGCCTGTAATCCCAGCAATTTGGGAGGCTGAGGCTGGCAGATCACCTGAAGTCAGGAATTTGAGAGCAGCCTGGCCAATATGGTGAAACCCTGTCTCTACTAAAAATACAGAAATTATCTGGGCATGGTGGCACATGCCTGTAATCCCAGCTACTAAGGAGGCTGAGGCAGGAGAATCGCTTGAACCTGGGAAGCTGAGGTTGCAATGAGCCGAAATCTCGCCACTGCACTCTAATCTGGGTAACAGAGTGAGATTTCACCTCAAAAAAAAAAAAAAGAACTTCAGATAAACTCTCATAACATATTTAAAAAGATGAGTGAAGGTAATGCAACCAGGAAATAAAAGTAGTATGTTGCAAAACAAGAACAATCAGAGAACATTTAAAAGGATGCTTGGAAAAAATATAATATCCAAAGTGGAAAATATTTGAGGATACACAGATGAGTAGGTTACTCTCTGTGTCAGAAGCAGCCTATAAACGGTTATTTTTCCTTTTTCCAAGTGTCCTTGGACAGTTTAAGACATTTAACCTGTCTTAGCCTCAATTTTTTTTTTCATCCATAAAATGGACAGGATAAGAGGAACTACCTCAGAAGACTGTAGGGAGGATGACATTGCTAAGCAGTATGCCCGGCATACAGCAACTGTTACATAAACATTTGCTGCTATAAAAAAAATAACAAAATAACAATAATAACAATTGCTATCAAACCTCAGGTTCTTCCAGCTAGAAAAACCATAAATCATAATATTGTCATATGTTCCAGAAAAAGTTCTACTCATACAAGAGTTGAAACATTAAATATGTCATGATATATATTTGTTTTATCTTAACTGAATTATTAATTTTAGCAAAGTTAACTGAGTAAGTACAAACCAATTCGTCTGTTCTTATTTGAACTTACATTTATCTATCACTTCAGTCAGAACTATTTTAAGATAATTCACGTGGGTTAAATTTGAAGCATTAGCAACTTCATATAGAATAAAGTAAAATTTATTTAGAAGGGGTTAAATGCTGTGTTCTTACTTAAATGTGTTCCATTTTAGATTTTGTCCAGGTTGCCAGAAACTTGTTTTGCTTGCAGTTGGATGAAGTAAATGTCGGTGCACATGAAATTTCCAATATATTAGATTCACAGGTAGGGTATGCCCTATAGAATTACCTTGACACATGTAAGTCACAAGTCTTGAATGTTATATGTCATATGTATAGGCTTTTTTCACTTAAAAATAGAAATAATACATATTCCTTATGTAAATATATAGATATAAATCAATTTAAAATCAAAAGTAAAAGTTCATCCTGATCTTCATTCTCTTCTCTCACTAGCCTCTTGTGCCATTCCTATACCTAAGTTTACCAGTATTGACAATTTGATATGTGGAGGATACATACTATAACTAGCTAGACAAACAGATACCATGTGTGCATGTGTCCATTCTCATCTGTTTTGTCTCACTATAATATACACACGGAAAACACCTCTATATTGTGTATATCCTATGAAATTTTACAGTTTAAACCATCCTCATTTAATTAGCATCCAGATCAAGATACGTAAAATTAAATAAATACATTACCAGATGCTCTCCTACCCCCAGGTTCCTTTCTGATTACTAATGACACCCTTATACCCCCATAAAAAAATGAACTACTCTTTCAACTTCTAACAGTGTAGATTGATTTTGCCTCTTTTTGTGCTTTATGTAAAACATAATTATGAAGACTATTAGCTTCAATCATGGGTTCTATAGAAGTTTGACCTTTATATTACTGAATATTTTAGTCCTTTTCATTGTGGATTTTTGGTAGTATTATCCTCTTAAAGACTTCCTTCTTAATTTATATTCTATATAATTTATATATTTAATTGACTCAAAAATTTATTCTTATTTGTGCATGGCGAACCATGCATAAATGCCACTTGTTTTTGTTCCACCATCATTTATTTAAATGCCCATCTTCATTTATGCCATTGATTTGAAATGCAAAATTTATTATATACTAAATTTCTATCTAGATACACAGATGTGTTTCTATATCTACAATTAGAATGTTTCTTGACTTAAAGTCAACTTAGTCTTATGATATAGTTATACCAACTTTTAATTGGTTGATTTTTTTTTTTTTTTTGGTTTCCAGTGATTAAAATCATTGGATAAATGAATATATTTCTTTTTTAAAGAAACCTGTTATTATGTAATTATTTTAAATGTTACCAGTAGAATCTAAATACTACCGTATTTTATATGCATAACCATCTATTTAAAAGAAAATTCATGCATTATTCTTTTATTCTCAAAACTTGATCTTTTCCTTTTCTCTGTTAGCTCTTATTTCTATTCCATATATACCTGGAATTTTATCCTGATAATATATAATCGCTGTCCTGGGAAATGATCACCCTATCGTTTTGCTGCAAAAAAACTTTAAATGAATGAAAATTTATTTATTTTCCTATGTTTATAAGGCTTTACAAATTAAAATTTTCTTCTGTATTGAATTATAGTCATACTTATTGGCACATAATCAATAAAATTAGAAATAATAACTTTTGATCAATTATTTTTATGAATAAAAATATAAATTTATATTTTAATGGGATGGAAGAATTCTTTTCATGCCAGCTCTGTCCCTTATGAAATTACCATATTTAACTGAGAATTTCTGGACTCTTAATTCTGGTGGTTTCTTGGCTTCATAAATCTTCATAAATCTTGATATCTGATGAAATATGTTCTCCTATCTTATTTATTTACTTTTAATTGACAAAAAATTTTATATACTTATGTACATTTTGATTTAGAATATGTATACACTGTGAAATGCCTCAACTGAGATAATTAACATATGCATTACCTCAAATAATCTATCTTTTTTTTATAGTGAGAACACTTAAAATCTACTCTCTTAGCAATTTTCAAAATGCAATACATTGTTATTAACTATAGTCATATGGTCACCATGTTGTAGAATATATCTCTTGAACTTTATTCTGCTGTCTTATGGAAATTTTATGTCCTTTGTCATCACTCCAAACTGCCCCCGCACCCTTAACCTCCAGCCATTCTTTTAAAATATTGCTTTGGCTAATCTTCAGTCTTATCTTGTCCATATGAGTTACACCAAAAATCTTGCTCTATTGAATTTATAGATTATTTTGGGAAGAATCAACATCTTTATATATTTAAGTTTCTGTGAACATGTTATGGCTTCTCAGGTATTTATAGCTTCTTTGATGTCAATATGTTTCATATATTTTTAAAATTAATTATATTTTAATCTAGTTACCTTATACTTTTTGTTACCATTAATTAATTATATCTTATAAAAATGGTTTTATTTTAAATGTATTTGTTTTTATATAAAATTAAGTTTTATATATTTACCTTATACTTTGCAACTGTTATACCCATTTGCTTTTCATCTTCCAGAAAGTAATCAATATTTTTTGTTCTAATGCTACCTTTTCTGAATTGCTGATAGTCTTATTAACTCATGTATTTCTTTATTTTTGTTTCTGTTTTCAGATATACTTTTAAATAAATAATATGGTCAGTCAGGTTCTTTGAATGCTGCTAGAAACCCTAAATTCATTCAGAAGAATAGATGTATTACATATTTTTAATAACTTTTTCTTTTAGTCAAAGCTTAAAAAAAATTGTACTTTTATTTCATGGTTATATTTAGAGGTCTACTGTTTTCAAGTGATATGCTTTATTGACGAGAAGTTTGCATATTATATATTATTAATTACATAATTGCAAATTCTAGAAAGAGTATGTAAACATATGATTAATTTATTGACCAAAAAGTCTGACTGCCCATTTAAAAAATGATACATGTCAGTATTTTTAATGTTTCAAGTCAGTTTGTTCTCTTTTGTAAGCAGTCTCTTTTACTGCTAAGCATGTGGCCCGTTGCAATCACCCAAAGATCTAGTTGTTTCCTAACCCTCAAGAGAGTACCCAGTTCTCCCAGAATGAAGCACTGACATCAGAACTAATTTGGTAGCATTTATTCAAAGAGAACTAAAGCTGTATTCAAGGAGCATAGTTTTCATTCTGCTGATTCAGGTGTTATGTGTTTATCTACCTAATGTTGATGGTAGGGAGCATTGTTTTTTACTGCCCAACAGTTCTCAGAGCTGCCATGCCCATTTTTCATGAGGAAGGCAAAGATGGTTGGGTGGTTTGCAACATGCCAATGGAGTGGGCAATTTAGAGTATTTTCTATGAGCATGCAAATCTTTTTTAGCAGCCGCAAATGGATTGTCATGCTCCAAATTAGCAATTTATTTCCTCCTTACTAATGTAATTTTAGGACAGATAAGAATGTGTTTATAGTTTTGAAGTCTTTGGGATAAAAAAAATAAAAAAGAATGTGTTCAACCTGTGATACTTTAATAGCAAAAGCAAAGTGCTAATGGCAATCGTGCAAGATGTCCTACATGTCAATAATTTCCAGCCCGTGGCTTCAGGTCAAAATGTTGTGCAATGGGATTATATTAATTTTTAAAATTTTTTATTGTATTTTTTTCAGTTGAGTCCACAATAAAAACACATTTTTTCACCGTACTCACATATGTAACTGAAACAAAAGTCTGTCAGAACATTAGTTACCTTTTCCGTGTACATTGCATTTTAATTTAATATTCACTTGTATCTCATTCAAACTTTGGTTTCACGATTCACTAATAGGGGATGTAACAGTTTGAAAAAACATAAAAATCACAATGATTGTCATGTAGCTCACCAAAAACAAATAATAAATAACTGATTGTTTTGTAGTGTAATTCCCTACTTTTTTGATTTCAAAAGTGGTTTAATCCCCCATCTGAAGTATGTCAATCAATTTATAGTTGTGGATGCTGACTATCTATGAGGGTGGGAAATTCCACTATGGTTATCCCCTCAACCATCTCAGTTTCACAGACAACAGGGTTGGGTCATTCTGTTAGGGATGCATATCTTTTAGTCGTATGTCTTCTTTCTTTTTTTTTTTTTTGGCTGATAAAAATGGCTTCTCTTTTTTAATTTCTTTTTAAAAATATTACTGAAATCTAATATATACAAAATAAAGTAAAAAATCTAAAGTATACAATTTGATGAATTTTTATTATATATCTAACATGGAATCATCACTCAAAAGGCTCCCTCCTGTCACATTCCCAGGCAGCCGCCTCTCTCACCTTTATGTCAGAACCAATATTTTGACTTAAAACAACATAGGTTATTTTTGCCTTTTATTAAATTTCCTAATATATAGAATTATAGAATATGTATTCTTTTGTAACTTGCTACTTTTGATCATTATTTTGCCTAACTCATAATATCTCTTGAGATGCTATCTTTTAAGTAGGAATGTTGAGTCAGTATAAGTCAGTCCTACTTTGTTCGACAACTTTTGAGTTTGGAAGAATATGACATTTAGAACCAAAAATATAATTATCTTACTGTGAGTCTAATCATCTTTGCTACATTAGAAAATTCACACAGTGCTACACCTGCTGCTGGCACAAGGTTATATGCAGAAAGGGCAAGGCTGGAGCCCACAGTTAGCAGTACTCTAAACTTAGCAATAGCAGAATATAGTCCATCGTAATATGATTTTATCAGACCAATCAAGTACTGTATCATGAATGGATTATCTTACAATTATAGAGAGAACACTGAATTCCCTAAAATAGATTTTTCACAGTTTGAGCTCTTGTTAAGTCAATTTAGTGGACTGCTACTACCATTTTAAACAAGTAAAATAGAACATAATGGAAAATATCAAAGTGATTTGTCTATGATAAGACTGCGTAATGTTTCACTTATTCTGAATCACAATATGTATCATATTTCTCACCATGTATAGTAGTAAATACTTTATAGCCACTTCCCTAACTAAAACACCAAATATACATTGAACAATTGCAGTGTCCATGTTTTGTTATGTGCACGTTATTAAGATAGATAAAACTTGGCCTACATATTTTAATGAAAACGTGTGTGCCCAAATAATTATAGTAAGAAAAGCTGCATTGTGTGGCAAGGCTATAAGAGTAATAAAGCTTAGAACATTCAGAGAAGGTTTGTAACAGAGTTGGCATTTGAGTAAAATTTGAGGAATAAATAGGATTTTATGTGCTCAAGAGATAAGCAGGGAGTGATAAAAGTATTAGCATAAACAAAAAAATGAGAATATAATGCACACACAGTAGTCTACTTTAAAAAAGATAATTGGGTTCATTCAGGTGACAGAAGTTATGCCTTAAAAGGTAAATATTAAATTTAGAAGTTTGTACTTAGTATTCAGTGAGGAGCCATTAAGGAAAACAGTTAAATGACAAAAGTGATATTTTTTGGAAAGAGGAATTTTATGTGTTGGTTACATAGGAAGGGAATGAAAGTGGTGGTAGGTAGTCTAGATAGAGGATTATATAAATAATCCAAATATAGGATGATGAAGAACTAAAGTACAGTGAAGAAGGGGAGAACAGAAAAGAAAGTGATAGTTAACTCCAAAGTTTTGACTAAGATGACTAAGAATATAACAGGTAGCATTAATAGAAATAGGGAAATAAGAAGAAAGCCCTTTTCAAGGTAGAGACAATGACAGATTGTATTTTAGAGAGTTTAAGAAGCCAGCAAGTGCAAATAAGCAAAGGCCACTGGAAATTAGGAACTGGACAGTAGGAAGGAATTTGGGAATATTTTGAGAGTAATAGTTGAGGCATAATAGTGAATGTTATCACTCAGAACTTGTAGAGAAAAGGAAGGAAAGGGACAGACTTTGGGGAACCTCTCAACCCTCTCTTCTTCTAAGGAGTAGAGATGAAACCAACTCATTGGAAATAGCCTAAATGTCCGGAAGGGTAGGTGAGATATTAGGATATCACAATCTAAAGAAGATAAAATTTCAAAGAAAAAAAACCTTCAACAATGTTATATATAACAACAAAGAAAGTTGGTTGGAGGAGGGGGACATTTTCTTTGTCACGTAGCAGTTTTATTAGTGAAATTGCAAGTAATCATTTTAGAAATATAGGAATGAGAGGAAAGAGGTATAAGCCAGATTATAAGTGAAATGAATGAGCAGGGAAATGGAAGGAGAAAAAAAGATAACCCAGAAATTTTTAGGTGAATAGAGGTGAATACGATGGTAAAGTCACACAATTTTATAAGGAAAGCGGGTAATTGAATAGGTCTCTAATAGAAGGCCTTATCAATAAAATTAGACTGACACTAAAGTTACTGTTTTGCAACTGCTTCTGTTTAAGATGAGTTGAGATTAAGGAATGTATCAGTAGAATAATAGCTATCCAGAATTGATACAAGTCAAGTAACTTAAAATATGATGGAGCAGCAACATGAAGGGAGAGGTCTGATTAGGTCAGACCTAATCACAGTCCAGTGACCTATAGTATGTATTTCTTGACATCTCCAAAAGGAGATTCTAGAAAGCCAAGTAGAAATGATTTACAGTGTTAATTACCAGCTGTTGCAAAGTTCAGGGGATCCATGGATCACAATGATATTGCGAGAACCAGACAGTTAATAGGTATAGAAGGCTAAGGAATGTAAATTGCAGTAGTTAGAGGTAGATTTTGGAAACAGAGATCTGTCTGGAATTGTTACTGTGAAACAACAATTAATTTGCTGCTTTCTTAGATGAAGTATATTTGAATAGAACTATATAAAAACGTCATTGAGTACAAAAGGGCTTTTCAAAGAATTCACAAGGAACATCCATGGCCAATTCTCTGGCTACAAGTTTTTGCTGCATAGTCCAAAATAGCAGTCTTTTTTTTTTTTTACGTCATGATTTGTTCTAATAGTCTAGGCTTTGCCTCTCAAAATAGTACCATGGATTCTTTTATTCATGATTTATCTCTATGATCTTAAGCTCCAAAGTTTATTATCACATCTCTAAAATCCCAATCCATAGTTTCTCTTAATAAATTATTTTAACTTGGTATCTTAAAATTTTATTTAAACTTTCCTTCTTTTCTTTTCCTTTATTTTTTTATTTATTTATTTATTTAGACATGGTCTCACCCTGTCACCAGGCTGGAATGCAGTAGTGCAAACTTGGCTGACTGCAGCGGTACAATCTCAGCTCACTGCAGACTTGACCTCCCACCCACCTCAGTTTCCCAAATAGCTGGAACTACAGGAATGCACTGCCATGCCTGGCTAATTTTATTTTTTGTAGAGACAAGGTCTTATTATGTTGCCAAGACTGGTCTCAACCACCTGGCCTCAAGCAATCCTCAAGCCTCGGCCTCCCAAAGTACTGGGATTACAGACCTGTGTCACTGCATCCAGCCTTATTTAAACTTTTGAGTCTTCCTTATTTCACTTCTTAGGATAAGAAGATAGAATAGGCCCATATGAATGTTGAGTAGCAACATTGAGTTTCTCAGATTGTGCTTTGTATACTTTAGTTCCATGAGCTAGTACAAAAATAAATAAATGAAGGCAGCAGGGTGACGAGGTTGGGGGTTTAGAGTATGGTGAAATTACTAAGGAAACATGACAAGTTATTATACTTTTTTTTTTTTTTTTTGGAGATTCAAATACTCACTAGCATATTAAGGCTGTTGGAAGCCATGCAGGAAATAAGGTTAATTTTTTAAAGCTTGTATACCACTATCACCAGCACTACTACTCAATTTTGCTTATACACAAAGCCTGTTAATATCCTTTGGAACACACTTGGGAAATATTATTACATTTTAAAATGTGTTCAAAATTAATCTAACAATACAGGAATGAATTCTTATGAGTGTGTGTGTTGAGTACTTCTGAGACAACAGAGTAACAAACATGAAGAATGTAGATCATATAAATCATGGGCAATGTCCATAGATACCCAAAAGCTAATGTGACAGAGCAAAAAGAACCAGTGATATTCAGAGAAATAAGTTCTCCACAAATGTGAAGAATAACTCCCACTTCTGTTATTCTAGAGTTTGGAAAGCAAATATGAGTTCGATATATCCATTCCACCATGCTTTTTGTTGAATCATTAGGAAAAACTCAGAGACTATGATTTGTGGAACTCTTGGATTGGCCATTTGTTAGCTGTGAAACCTTAGGCAAGTTATTAACCTTTCTGAGCTTGTTTCTTCATCTGTAAAATGGAGACAAGGTGAATCATACTGAAAATATAGAGTCCTTAGCAGTGCATCTGCATATAAGTTTCCAATACGTCATTGATATTATTAATTAATCTTACTATTTTTTTTCTACTTCACATTTGCCTCACCTATCTAAAGGGCTCTGTTCTAAGCCCATGCTTAAATAACAACTGATTTCTCCACTTAATCCTTTAAATTATATTTTCTTTAGTTGTTATAGCCTCCACATAGGAGATGACTACAGTTAAATTTGGACTTTATCTCTGATTAGACTGTCATTAGTTTTTACATTGTAATTGACTGTCAAAGAGATCATGCTAGATGTAAGAGAAATGGTCATCTCTGCATTTTTGTTGTTATTCACTTGTGCATAATTATATTTTCTTCAATCTACAATTTCTGTGCAGGAATCTTTTTGAGCCATGTATCTGTTGCATTACATTTCATTAAGTTAAAACCAGACACATAACTGATAAATATTCTTTACTAGGCTCTTGTAAACCATCTGATTTTATAATGTACAGCATTTTGTTAGCCTTAGATACTATGCTATTAGAATGAATGTGAGGGAATAGTTTTTGTTGGTAATTCCTGAAGTCTTTTTGACAATAAACATAGTCTTGGAATTTGGAATTCTCAGGAAAATTATACTGTTGAAATAATGATAAAGACAACAACGAAATCAAAATTCTGTTTTGAATAACAACAATGTAAAGTTAAGCCTAAATGAATGAAATTGCCCCAGGTTGCTTTAATATTCCCTTTTATCTAATCATATGACTCCAAAGTAAGAAACTGAATTTTGTTATTAGAATGCAAAGCCTAAGACTAGTTAGGATTTTTATGTTAGCTCTCATAATTAGCATCTAATGCACAACCTTTCTCTTGTATTTTAATGTTGACAGCTTCTTCCTTGTGATTCTTTAGAAGCAGATGAAATGGAAAGGCTCAAGCGTGAAAGGGATGATGCCTTGAAAGAAGTGAATACACTTAAGGTAACCTCTAATTTAGTTTCCTTATGTTTTCTTCAGAAAAAAAGAAAAAGAAAAATATTCTGTATTGGCTTCTGAAATATTGGGGCTTAATTTTATTTTTAATGGAAAAATATTAATGTCAAATAGTAAGAATCAGATTCTTTATTCAGTTGTCCTTTAGAGAAATTAGTTTTTGGTCTACATGTTTGTATTTCACAATATCTTTATAACATTTAGTGTGAACAATGGTTTCTGCTCATGTCTTCTGTTAAGGTTCCTTCTTAGCCTTTTTATCCTCTCTCATTGGTGGCCAGGGCAGAATTAGATGAAGAGCCAATAAAGCAAGTCATGACAATTTTGGATCCTGTGAGTTCATTGGGAAATACGTTTTCTTTTCACATGCAGGCCCATTCTTAAGGGACATCATGTTTTGCTAATGTAATTTGGAATTAAGACAATATTATTTAAGAGAAGAAAAAAATACGTATCCCAAATATAACATTTTACTTATCTTTTTTTGTTTGGTTGATTTTTTGATTCTTGGGTTTTTTTTGGTTTTTTTTGAGACAGGGTCTTACTCTGTCACCCAGTCTGGAGTGCAGTGCTGCAATCACATCTCACTGTAGCTTCAACCTACTGGGTTCAAGCAGTTCTCCCACCTCAACCTCCCAAATAGCTGGGACAACATGCCCATGTCACCATATTCAGATAATTTTTTTTTTTAATTTTTATTTTGTAGAGATGGAGTCTCACTATGTTGTTCAGGTTGGTCTCAAATACCTGGATTCAAATGACCCACCTGCCTCAGCCTCTTAAAGTGCTGGGATTACAGGTGTGAGCCACTGTGTCTGGCCTTGATTCTCTTTGTATGATTTCATTCTGTTTTTAGGAGAATATTGCATTTAAATTATATCCTAATTTTTACAGAAAGCTATATTTTCCAAATCTTCAGGAAAAGCAACATAACTACTTTATTTACCACGAATTCACCATAGGAATGTACTTTTAAAATTATTTTATTAAATAAGGTATATTATATTGATAATTTTTTTTGTTTGTTTTTTGTTTTTGTTTTTTGTTTTTTTTTTTCCCATTTATTTATTTTATTGCATTTTAGGTTTTGGGGTACATGTGAAGAACATGCAAAATTGTTGCATAGGAACACACGTGGCAGTGTGATTTGCTGCCTTCCTCCCCATCACCTACATCTGGCATTTCTCCCCTTGCTATCTCTCCCCAGCTTCCCACCCCCCACCGTCCCTCCCCTATTTCCCCCCAACTGACCCCAGTGTGTCGTGCTCCCCTCCCTGTGTCCATGTGTTCTCATTGTTTAACACCCGCCTATGAGTGAGAACATGCGGTGTTTGATCTTCTGCTCTTCTGTCAGTTTGCTGAGAATGATGGTTTCCAGGTTCATCCATGTCCCTACAAAGGACCCAAACTCATCGTTTTTGATGGCTGCATAATATTCCATGGTGTATATGTGCCACAAATCGTTCTACTATAAGGACACGTGTACACGAATGTTCATTGCAGCACTGTTTACAATAGCAAAGACCTGGAACCAACCCAAATGCCCATCGACGATAGACTGGATAGGGAAAATATTATATTGATAATTATCTAATTTTTATTAAATAGAAAATCTTTACACCAGAAAGAAAGAAAAACTTTTTGCAACCTTAGTTTTTACAATTCCAACCTCTAGAGGAAGCCATTATTGCAAATAATATTATTTATCTTTTCATAGATTTTTTTCTACATGGAAAATTATATTTTTTAAAATAGACAAGGCATGGTGGCTCACACATGTAATCTCAGCACTTGGGGAGGCTGAGGCAAGAAGATTACTTGAGCTCAGGAGTTTAACATCAGCCTGGGCAACATAGGAGGACCCCATCTCTACTATTTAAAAAATAAAAACAAAAATAAATAAGTAAATATATGTATATGTAGGGACAGGGAGTATTTGAGAAATCTCTGTACTCTCTTCTCAATTTTGCTATTAACCCAAAACTGCTCCAATAAATAATAAAGTCTTAAAACTTTTTTTTTCAGTATGTGTGTATTTTCACTTCTACATAAATCGCCTCATCCAGCCACACTTTTTTTTACAACGTGCCTTGTTTTTTCTCTCTCTTTATAAGAATTCTACCTCCAGCAGCTTTTCAGGTTAATATACACAGATCTATCAGATTCTTCTGGATAACTCTCCTATACATCAAATGGTCATTTAGCCAGTTCCCTATTGATGAACATTAGACTATTTGTAGTTTTTAAAAATAATTTTATCTTCAACAGCTTTGTAGATATATGTTTGGGCATTTGGAGAAGTATATACATGGAATAAATGTCTGAAAATGGAATTGCTTTATTAGAAGATATAGACACTTAAAATTTTGTATATGTTACCAAATTCCCTTTCAAAAGGTTTTGCCAATTCACATTCCTTCCTAAAATATATGAGCATTTCACCACTATAAGAGTATTCCATATATTTCTTTTTTTACCTTTGAAACCACTATCTTTCCACATTTTTTAGTGCAACAATTAAGTGTTTAGATGGAAAGTATAAATTTAGTTTTAAAAATACATTGACAATGGTTTCTTTATTTTCCCTTAGGAAACTTTCCCAATGTTGGTTACTTTAAGAAGATAACTTTTTTATGTATTATTTCTACCTAAACCATTAGACTTGTGGTTTATCAGAATGTTCAGAGGCTCTCAGATCTTTTTCATTTCCTTATAGTTTATCATTTTAAATTTAGTAACATGTTTCAGTTTTATTTTAATATCAATAGTAATAATTAGAATGTTAATTTGAAAGTATATATGCCATATTAATTTAACATTTAAACTTCCCTGAGGAGTCATTCAATAAATCAGGATTCACATTTGAAGTTCATGAAATGTAACTGAATATACCCTACTATGACAAAACCTGAACTCCCAGATAAGCCAGCAACCATCTAGCTCAGTTAGTTAGAATATGGTACAAAAATCCCAGATAAAACAAATTTTACATTTTTTAATTACCTTTACCTCCAAACCTATGTATAGGCTGACCAATTAAAGAAGCTATATAAAGTAGTATAAAAGCAATAAATATTTTTGTTCAAGGTAATGTTTTTATTTTCAGTTTTTCTACTTGTATTATACAGTCACAAAAAAAGCAGAGGTTGTTAAATGACATTCATAAAGTATGTAAATGGTGTCTCATCACTTTTTATTATCCTGTAACATCTCTATTCTTCATGTCTGATACGAGGTACAAACAAAAGTGAAACCAAGATAATTTTATATCAATGGCTAATTTTTATTTTGCAACAATGATTTTTTAAAGTGCTGTGGGCTTTATTTTAGGAAGCCTTTCTGCAAAATTCACATTGCTACTGCTTTGCAAAGGTGAATGGAAAATAGATATATTTTCCATTAACAGATACACAAAAACTAGGGCACAAAGAGTGAAGGTGACTTGCCGGAACATAAAATCACAGGAGCCAGCAGTCTCTTGGCTCCTGGTCTGTGGCATATTCATTAGATTGCTATATTATATTCATCTTCATATACCTTCATTTCACCTCTTAGACAAGAATAAACTGAAATATACCAGAAAGGATATTGCCTCTTTTAAACATTGTAATATTGCTATGAATTTTTACCACTAAGTTTAATGTTCTAGCAATTCCTCTGTTCTGGTTTGTATTTAATGCCTCTTAAATCACTCTTAGTATTTCTATTTTGGCCAACAAAATGTGGATTTATTTAAGATATACTTAACAAAATTGGACATTACAATGCTTGACTTAATTTCAAATCCAAAGATATATTTTATATGCATCATATTAATCTTCATAACTATTATTTTATATTTTGGTTACATGAGTCATATCTTCCTTTTCATTTCTAAGATAATTTAATAAAATTATCTTGGTTTCATAATTTAAATTTCATTTATAATTTAATTCGATTCCAAGAATAAGCTAAAATTAAATTACAAAACTAAGAGGTGAGCCAGTCTCATCATATGCCCTCTTTAGTATGGTCGAAGACCTTTAATTCTAATATGTAATAATTATGCTCTTCAGTTTGGTATCTTTGGCGATGATAGCTTAACCAAAATTCAGTTAATATTTACACATTTTTATTTTTTTTATTTTTATTTTTTTTGAGACAGAGTTTCACTCTTGTTGCCCAGGCTGGAGTGCAACAGTGTAATCTCAGTTCACTGCAATCTCTGCCTCACAGGTTCAAGGGATTCTCATGTCTCAGCCTCCCGAGTAACTGGGATTACAGGCATTGGCCACCACATCCAGCTAATTTTGTATTTTTAGTAGAGATGGGGTTTCCCCATGTTAGGCAGGGTGGTCTCGAATTCCTGACCTCAGGTGATCCTCCCACCTCTGCTTCCCAAAGTCCTGGGATTACAGACTTGAGCCACCATGCCCGGCCTTGTATTCTTAACTGGTTTCTGTTTGAGCTTATGTTTTGACATTTTGCAAAATTAAGGTAATAAAAAAGTGTATTTACATCACAATGTACTGTAAATAATTACTTTTAAGTGCCTTATGTAAAGCCCGAAAAATGACTAGGAGCAACATTTTCAGATTGTACCAATTTGATATTTGGGGAATATAAGCTTTCAAACAAAGAACTAAAAAGTCATACATGTTTATACTTTTATAACAAGTTGTTAATTTGATGGTTTTTAAATTTAGGAAAAATTATTGCAATCAGATAAGCAAAGGAAACAATTGACAGAGGAGCTGTATAATGTGAAACAAGTAAGTACATGTATTGTGTAAATGTGTGCTCGTGTGTGTGTGTAGCTGTGTATATGTGTGAATTTATGAGGTGTAATTATAAAGCAGTGGTTCTTTATAATATCCCAGAGTTTCCTGATACAAATTATATAATACAAAATAGCATAGATCTTAAAAGCAATCACTTTTGGAGGCTGTACCTGTGCTAAAGTCTTGCTACTATTACTGAAAAAAATGTTAAAACCTCTTTGAAATTGTTTTGAAAACAAGATATCCAGAGGCCAAAATAACCAATCTCCTTACTTTTCCATTATTTTTTCTTTTCTTTCATTTCCCCTTTTTTCCTTTTCTTTTTTCTTTGTTACTTGTACTTTATTTTACTAAAGAACAAAAAGCCTTGAAGTTCTTGTATCAGTTTGCTGAGAATGATGGTTTCCAGTATCATCCATGTCCCTGCAAAGGACATGAACTAATCTTCTTTTATGGCTGCATAGTATTCCATGGTGTGTATGTGCCACATTTTCTTTATCCAGTCTATCATATATGTGCATTTGGGTTGGTTCCAAGTCTTTACTATTGTGAACAATGCTACAATAAACATACATGTGCATGTGTCTAGGGCAAGAATGGCAGAGGGTGGAGGGATTGGGGAGGGATAGCATTAGGAGAAATACCTAATGTTGATGACAGGGTGATGGATGCAGCAAACCACTACCATGGCACATGTATACCTATGTAACAAACCTGCACGATCTGCACATGTACCCCAGAACTTAAAGTGTAATAAATAAATAAGTCTTTAAGGCAAGAATATTTTTAACATTTATTTGTTGGTAATAAAAAGCAAATATTTATTTCACTTTGCATTATTGTTCAAAGAATTTGAAATGGCTTACTATAAAACAAATATATGACAATATCATAAAATGAAAACCCAAATGACAAATAAAATATAAACAGGAGAACATTGTTAGAGATCAGCAGTGATCACCTGACTTTGAATCTCCCTCCCATACTCCCCCTAGAAAACATAAAAATCAACAAAGAAATCAAATAGAACCATACAGGACTCATATTTTCAATATGACTGTGACAGAAAACACCACAGTCTTTAAAGTACATATAAATAAAGTAAGAAAAGTAGTAATTCCAACAAACCTCTTGCAGCTTGCCTGTACTGAAACCTGGGATAGAGAGAACAGAGGAGGCAAGGCTTGAAAGACTCTGAAATAAAGAGTAGAGAGAAACAATGAATTAGATGAAGAACAAACAAAATCACCCCCAGAAAGAGAAAGTGTAACAATAAATGCCAGAATACTGAACATAGGTCAGGACTTGGTGGTTCTTAGCACTAGCTACAAAAAAAGAAGAAGAAGAAGAAGAAGACTTCAAGGTATGGATGCAATCAGAAATGGCAGCCTTGAAGAACCATTGCTTCTGGGAAAGAATCAGATAAATAGAGAATGGATAGAATTCCTTGGAGACTAGGCAATGACGGGAAAGAAGGAAATAAGAGGGGAATATTAAAGATCTTATAGAAATGAAATCAGAACACAATTTACTCATCCACCCACCCTACCCTATCACCATCAACAACAAGATCCATAAAAGAAACGGCACAGAAGAGGGTACTCTTGAACTAAGAAGTTTTTCTATGAAATAAAAAAGATTAGAACAAAAATTCTGTCTCCATCATTATAAAACAACTGAAAAAAATTAGATGATATATATGAAAGCTTTCCTCCTAATGAAAACTTTCCAAAACAATTTAACCACAAAGCTTAAGAAAACTGTGATGTTACACTCCATGCTCAAGGGGATATCCTCAAATAAGCATTTGGGGCTAAGAAAAAGACACTTCAAATCAGAAACTTAAAAAATAATAATAGTAGATATTGACCAAAAAAACAAAACAACAACTCAGGAAAAAGTGAAATGAGAGTTGATAAAACTTAGAAAAGAAGGAAGAGACAAAATCATATCAGTAATGAAAACTAAATTACAAATTGCCCCAGGAAGAATATAATCAAGTGAAAAGACAATGAAGAAAACAAGATAAACAACTAGGAAAGTGAAAATGAAATCGAGACATAAAAACCAATAAAAATAATTGAACGGCACTAATACTTAGAACTATAATCCAAGAAAACTTTCTAGAATTAAAGTAAGACCTGAATCTAATATCAGGTACAGGGGAAATCTGACCTGGAAAAATTAACTCTACAATATATTCTAGTAAAATTATTAGACTTTAAGGATAGAGGGAAAAAAAAAATGCACAGTGCCTCCAAGTAAAAAGATCAAATAACTTACGAAGGCAATAGAATTAGACTAGCATCAGGTTTCTCAAAACAACATGCAAAGTAAGACAATAGTGGAACAACATTTTCAAGACACCAAAGGAAAGAAAGAAAGTATACAAAAATGTTGTATACAACCAACCTAACTTTAAAATATCAAGGCCATAGAAAACAGTTTGGACTATACCAGTACTAAAATGTTTCCAAACAGTGAGAACTTAATTTATTTTATTGCATAGGTGAGACTAAAATAAGTCAGTGCATGGATGAAAGAATAATATGTCAACATTACACGTGTTAACAAAAGTCAAAAGATGAAAAATTTTTTAATGGGAGAATAAGAAAGAAAAAAGAAGAAAACAGAATACATCATTTTGTTGCATAAGCAAAGAGTAGCCATCAACAAATATTGCTTAAAACTGATATCAGGTAAAAAATAGAGGAGATAGCAAGCACTTAAAAAGTAATAATGCAAAGGTAACCCAGAATGAAAATCCAAACCTTTATAAATGCCAAAAAGAATTGTTTAAGTAAAAAGGATACACAAAATAAAAATGCAGTAAATATACACAATAATTTCATCATAAGACAATTTGATAGAGCGACCAAACATAATGGTTATCTTATTTTACATGAATAAGATCAACTCACCTATTTTTTAAAAAGTTTTTCAAAAAATATAGTTTGCCAAAACTGACCAGAGTAAAGATAGAAAGTCTAAAAGGCCATTTTCTGTAGAAGAGAGAAAGTAAGTTATCAAGAATCTATGCTAGATAAAAAGGCCAGACAAGATGGTTTTACAGAGAAATTTAACCAAACCTTTGACAGTTAGTCTCAAAACTTTATAAATTGCTTCAGAGTGTAAAAAATGAAAGAAAAATTTCAAATTATTTTCATGAAGCAAGTATAGTGTTGATGTATAAACTTAATAAAAATAGCACAAAAAAGATATAGTTAGACCACAAAAACAATTAGAAGCATGTGACTTGGAGAAGAAAAGATAAAACTATTTCTTTTTGCAGATGATATAGTAATAATCTGGAGTACCCTAGAGAGATAAAAGTAAATCGGTAAGTTGATAAGCAAGCAAGATATAAAATTAATATGCAAAACTAAATTGCATGCATATACACAAATAATAACCAATTAGAAGTTTTAATAGTTGAAGAGAAAGTAAAATTATATAGATAAATAGGCAAAATACCTGAACAGATAATGCACCAAAAAAGCTATAAAAATATTACTTAAACAAATGAAGATACTCAATCTCTTTCTCTCATAATAAAAGAAATGCTAGTTAAATCTATACTGTCATAGAACTTCTAGCCTCTAAGAAATTGTGGAATAAGACTCTGACAGAGGACATCCCCCAATAAAAACACAACTCCAGAACCTAAACGTTTAACAATAAGCAACTACTAAAGCAATTGGATAATGAGCATCATCAGACAAATTGCTCCTCCTGGAAAAGAAGCAGAATATTAACATGTACCTAGAAGTAAGAAGTAAAAATTACATGAAACAGTATTCTTTTTTTTTTGGAGTCCTGCTCTGTCACCCAGGCTGGAGTTCAGGGGCACAATCTCAGCTCACTGCAACCTCCACCTCTTGGGTTCAAATGATTCTCCTGCCTCAGCCTTCTGAGTAGCTGGGATTACAGGTGCACACCACCATGCCCAGCTAACTTTTGTATTTTTAGTAGAAATGTGGTTTCGCCATGTTGGCCAGGCTAGTCTCCAACTCCCTACCACAGGTGATCTGCCTGCCTCAGCCTCCCAAAGTGCTGAGATTACAGCTGTGAGTCTCTGCACCGGGCCTGAAAGGATATTCTTAGAGAGGTCTCACTTCTTTCTGTATCTTTTATGAACAAGGAAAATTACAAATATACTTACTTATTTTTGTAAAAGAAATCAAAGGAGGGATAAACTACACAACAACGAAATTGATTACCTACAACATGGGTAGACATGCATGTTAGGGTACAGGAAAGAGTGACACCTCTCTAAGAATACCTTTTCATATAATATTTACTTTTGTGTACACATTAACATTCTACTCATTCAAAAATATATTAAAAATTAAGATGGAAAGGGGAAAATAAACCTAAAACTGCAAGCATACTGAAGCAAATGAATCTAATTGTATTTCAAATGAATACCATAGTTACAGCAAAGAAAAAAAAATGATAGAACCAATTCAAGTAACTGGTGAACACAGTATTTGTGTTCAGTGTTTTGTCAGGATTGGATTGAGTTGGGAAAGAATTTCATACAAGTTCTAACCCTTTTCTTTTGGTATGTCTTTTTGTTTTGTTTTGTTGTTTTAGTAGTGGGGCAAAGCAGCTCTGAAACAATTTTAGATGCTTTATAGATCTGAGCAAATGTGTTGATTATTGTTGAGAAGCAGAATCTCAATGAAAAAGAAAAGGCAAAATAGAATGAATGAAGTCAAGAAAGGATCCTGAGCTGGGTATGGTGGTATGCATCTATAGTTCCAGCTCCTTAGGAGGCTGAAGTGGGAGGATGGCTTGAGTCCAGGAGGTTCAGGCTACAGCGTGCTATTATGGTGCCTGTGACTAGCGACTGTATTCCAGCCTGTGCAACATAGTGACACCCTGTCTCTTAAAAGGAAAAAGAAAGAAGGAAAGAACCCTGTGGGATGGACTTTAATTGTATGTATCATTGTGAATACATTATTTCTTATATATGTATGTGCATATGA